GGAATATTCAACCCCTGGTCCTCGTTACCTTTCGCTCGTTTCACTTGCCCCCTTTTTGCTCTTCATCTTTTGATACCCAACCTCTTTTGGGTTTTCTTGTTACTCCTTTTCGGAGGGGCTTGAGAAGGACAGTGTCTCCCTGTCTGATTAGAGGACAACTCCCCGTGCTTTTGGTAGGTCAGCGAGAAAAAGAAGCTTCGAGCGACTGCCTCGATTTCGCAACACTGTCATGTTGCCCTTGTGACCTATTTGTCTGGTCTTCGAACACGGTTCTAAACTCATGTACTCGGTTTCCCTCTCCCCTGACAGTTGTAGCTCTTGGGAAACAGTTACTGATTCTTCATAGGTGTGGCTCGAGAACGAACGAATCACAAAAAGAGAAATTAAGGTATGCTTCTGTAAGACGCTCCTTTAATTTCGCTTGACGTTGAATCGGTTGTTTGTGATTAGTTTGGGCTCGAGCACACTCGGCTTTATTTGAGAAGCACTCACAACATGTGCTTCCCCTTCATGTGCAACAAACATTTTATTTATTTTTGACCCACCCATCCCACCCTTGTGCCGCAAATTTCTGCTCTTGGTTTGCGGGTTTTCGACCGACGCCCGACACAGGTCGCCAGGTGTGTTTGTCACCCGGCTCTTTGTCGGCAGCGTCCGGCACCTGTGTTCAACAGGACTTCCGCACATTGGCCTTTTCCGGCGATGTGCCCATTCCCATTTGCCATGTCGTGTCCCTGACGCCGTACTTGTCCGCCTGTCAGGTACATCGTGAGGCCTCCGCTCTCACCACTACGGAACGATGTATTTCAGATCTCCACTCGGAATGGTCCAGGAGGGACGGAATATTCAGCCCGGGAATATTCAACCCCTGGTCCTCGTTACCTTTCGCTCGTTTCACTTGCCCCCTTTTTGCTCTTCATCTTTTGATACCCAACCTCTTTTGGGTTTTCTTGTTACTCCTTTTCGGAGGGGCTTGAGAAGGACAGTGTCTCCCTGTCTGATTAGAGGACAACTCCCCGTGCTTTTGGTAGGTCAGCGAGAAAAAGAAGCTTCGAGCGATGGCCTTGATTTCGCAACACTGTCATGTTGCCCTTGTGACCTATTTGTCTGGACTTCGAACACGGCTCTAAAATCATGTACTCGGTTTCCCTCTCCCCTGACAGTTGTAGCTCTTGGGAAACAGTTACTGATTCTTCATAGGTGTGGCTCGAGAACGAACGAATCACAAAAAGAGAAATTAAGTATGTATGTATGTAATGTATGTATGTATGTATGTATGTATGTATGTATGTATGTATGTATGTATGTATGTATGTATGTATGTATGTATGTATGTATGTATGAATGTATGTATGAATGTATGTATGTATGTATGTATGTATGTATGTATGTATGTATGTATGTATTTAATGTATGTATGTATGTATGTATGTATGTATGTATGTCTGTAAGCATGCATGTATGTATGTATGTATGCATGTATGTATGTATGCATGTATGCATGTATGTGAGTATGTAAGTAAGTAAGTAAGTAAGTAAGTAAGTAAGTAAGTAAAGTAAGTAAGTAAGTAAGTAAGTAAGTAAGCAAGTAAGTAAGTAAGTAAGTAAGTAAGTAATGTAATGCATGTAATGTATGTACGTATGTATGTATGTGTGCATGCATGCATGCATGCATGCATGCTTACATACATGTATGCATGTATGTATGTACGTAATGTATGTATGTATGTAATGTCATGTAATGTCGTGTAATGTAATGTAGTGTACTGTAATGTATGTAAATTAAGTAAGTATGTATGTCTCCTAGCACTTCCCCTTTGCTCCCAAAAACCCAGTATTTCCCGCAAAAAAAACACGGTTTTTCCAGCGTTTTCGCAAAGAGGACGTCCAAAAACATTGAGTTTTTCCAGATTTTCGCAAAGAGGACGTCCAAAAACATTGATTTTTCCAGATTCTCGGCAAAAGTATGCAGGAGCCCAAGCCAGCAAAAAAGCCGGCAGGGGGAATCGAGCCTGGGACCCCTGTTTTGCGACACCGGCTCCCCGAAGACTACGTTTAGTGGAACGTCATCAAATTGCCGCGCGGTACGTGGGGGACCCCCCCCCCCCCCCTCCCCCCCCCGCCTCCCCCCCCACCCCCCCCCCCTCCCCCCCCTTCCCCCTCCCCCCCCCCCCCCCCCCCAAAAAAAACCTACGTAATAGACGTCGGGCGGGGGGGGGTTAGGGGGGGGGTTATCCTCTATCCTCTAGTAAGTATCCGACACGCCGAGCAATGTCGGCGGATGTCTGCAATTTCAATTTGGCTGCAGCTAGTGTAGCAACTAGCAATGCTTTTCTTATCATTATCCTGGACCTTCAAACTCCGGCAAATTTCTGGGGGTTTTAGGAGACCCCTACGATTTACCGAAATCCAGTGGTTTAGCACAATTGATTTGCGTCGTTTCCAGTCGCGCATTGGCCATACAAAGCAAATACACCTCGCAGCACTGGCCAACGCGCCA